ACCAGAGGTGACCACAAGGAAACAGAGTCTTCCAGACCAATGGTGACAGCATATACAAGTCCTATGCAAGTTCAAACCAGACAAAATCCCAGCAGCACATGGGGAAGTGGGTAAAAAATCTTAACCCAAGTTAAGATTTAAGTTAAGGTACTTTTGACAATTGATGTCTGCTAGGAGGGGGAGACAAGTGTCTTACAGCAATGGGACTCTTGGTAGGCCCAATAAATGGACCTACACTGAAGGACATTTGGGGACACAAATCAGACATATACAAGACAGTACATTAAATTGGGAAGGGGCAGTGGATGAGGTATGGATAGGGGAGGGGCTCTGAATACCATCAAACTATACTGTATGAAAAACAGCAGAAACTCAAAATAAAAAAACCCAAAAAACATAAGCACATGTAGACAATATATATAGCCATATATACACATTTTATTTACATATTATCAAAGATTTGTATTGTCCGTTTTAAACTACTGATCAGTTCTTTTAAAAAAACGTATTTTTATTTTTTGTGTCTGTATTAGCTGCATGTGCATGAGTCCTGCAATACCCACAGAGGTCAGAAGAGGTGTAGGGGCCTGGAGAGATGGCTCAACGATTAAGAACACAGGTTGTTCTTGCAGAAGATCAGGGTTTGAATCCCAGCACCCACAGGGGCTGTCCCTAACTCCAGTTCCAGGGGATCCGACAGCTTCTTCTGTGCTCTGCAGGCATTGCACGACATGGGGACACTTACCTAAACGCAGGCAATATATGCATACACATAAAATAAAAAATAAATATTTTTAAAAAGAAGAGGTGTAGGATCCCCCGGAACTGGAATTTGTTAGCTTTCATATGGGTACTGGGATTCAAACCCCAATTCTCTGCAAGAGCTGTCAGTGCTCTTAACTGCTGAGGAACCTCTCCAGCCCCCATGATCAGTTCTTTTTTAGTATTAATCCAAAAATCTGTACTTTTAATAGCATTAAAATTCTTTAATTTAAAAAGTCTTTTTTAAAGATATGACTCAAAAGAACAAGACTCTTGATTCTAACCTGATTATTGATAAGGCTTTATGCTGGGCAAGCAGGTTCCAATTGGCTTTAAAATGATTCCTGGTTTTGTTTTTTTATTTACATTTGACAAGAACCTTGAAAAACCTGTTTTTGAAAAACGATACAGGTAGACAAGCAGTAGGTTAGGGGTTTTATTTTTATTAAAAACCTTAGTTTTTATCCTTATTATCGCCTCACCTGATTCCCTGCCCTTTAGTGCTCCCTGCAAGCCTTGGTAATCATTACTTTATCCCTACAAATGGCAATAGCTACCTCAGTGAATTACTGTGATAAATTGAGACTAAATAAAAAATATTTGGCACTGAAAATGGCCTCTAAGTGGTAGCTGTTTTTATTATTTACTAATTTCAAAAATAAATCCCAATGATCCTAGGACCAGTGCAGACTATTTAAGCCTCTAATTCATTGGGAAGAGTCCCAGCATCCTAGAGCACAAACCCCAAGCCTTTCAGGACCACCTCCCTCCCGACCTCCCAGCCTCCTCCGCTCGCCGCCCGCGGCTCTCCGCCTCAAGTCTAGCTTCTGCCCCTGCGCTCCATTTCTTCCGTGGCACAGAATTCAGCTCTCCTGGGTTCAGATGCTTCGCTGCTATAGTCAATTCCCAGGGATTTGCGCGGGGAGGTGCGTGGGGCTGGGAGCGGTCAGCAGTCTGGGTTCCCCGCCGCACAGCACCGGGACCTTGGACGGGTGGCTGGGGTAGCGCAGGCGGAGCCACAGCGGAGAGCAGCGACCCTGAGGCCGGCCTCCCGCACACCGCGCCCTCCCTTCCCCCGGGCAGCGGACAAAGCTTGAGAGCTCTCCAGAGAAGCGGGCTAGAAGCGGGAAGCTGAGGGCGGACAATCGGGTTAAAAATAGACGCCAAGCTTCGGCAGACCTCGCCTCCGGCTCCACCCAGGGACCAGCCGCGCCGACGACTGACTAGGCTCATCCGACCGCAGCCGCGTTCCGCCCCCAATCCAGCCCCGTGCTTACAGGCCTGGGGCGGAGCCTGGGCACCTACGTCACCGCGCTCCCGGCGTGCCGGTCGGGTTTTCGCTGACGCACAGGCCCCGCCCCCACCGCCCTTTCCCTGAGAATCGGAGCGCCCGGCGGACCGAGAGCGTCAGTCGCCCGGATCGCGGAGCCGTGTGCATTTAGTCCGGTTTCCTCTCGCTGCAGGGAGTCGCGCAGCTTCCCTGGCGGAGGCGGAAGCCAGGAGAGCGCGGTTCGCGGGTCCTCTCGGCGCCCAGGCCTCGTCGCTCGCACCGGCTGTGGAGGCGTGAGGTGCCGGCGGGCGAACGCCTGGAGCCGCGGTTGCCCGCGGCCTGCGGTCCTTCGCTCTTGCAGCCCTCCCACCCGAGGTCCGCGGGCCCGGCCGCCTCGGCGCTCCTGCACTAACAAAGGAGGCCCCCGCGGCGCCGGCGTCAGCTCAGCCC